GTGGCTCCCGAGCCGCAGTTTGCTGACCCCTGGTCTAGAATTCCATCAGTTGAGGTGATGATTCTAGCTTGATTCTTCATACAATTTGGAAGTAGAGCTTGAAGGGTTTACTGATGGTTTGTTGGGAGCTGTAGAATAAAAGAAGGATCAGGATTATGTTTCAAGGTTTGATTCTGAGCATCTAGGGGGTGGTATCATTTTCTGAAATAGGCATGACTTGAAGGAGGTGAATGATAAAAAGTCAATATTTCACTTTCACTCATGTTAACTTTGACTACTGGACAACCAACTGGAGATGTTTATTAGATGTTGAATCTAGAAATCTGGAGTTCAAGAAGGAGGTCTGGGCTTATGGTATGGTACTGAATGAAAAACGTTTGCTCTTTATCTCTCATTGTTTGGATTGTTGTTTATTGTTTTAGTTAATAGACCCAATATAAATTTGCTCAGTGTAAGTTTATGGAATAGTTTAGTTTTAGCCAAAGAAACCAAAATAAGAGACTATATATATATATATACACACATATATATCCCAAACCCTTTTTCACTTAAAACCAATTCCTCATATGTATGCTGAATGAAGACCACTTCCATTTTTCATTTGCTCATACTTAAATTGACAAGCTAGTTTTTTGCTTGTACTTACAAACAAAATGCTTCCATGTCTCCTAAATTCTGCTCCAGTGGTTCAATCATAGGTTCCCTTTCTGCCAAATGAAATAGCCTTTGATAGTGCCCATATTACATACCTCTGTATCACACTGAAATTGTGGAAATCTTTTCATTGGTTTTAGAAATTGGGCCTTTATTTATACAATCATTTAGATACACCGAGAAATTTCCGTTACTTGACTGTCCTGTTTGCTTTTTGCTGTGTTCTAGTGGTTTGGCAATAGATTAGAGGTTGGTTTTCTACCATTTGGTACTTATTATCTAGGAACAATCTGATTTCCATTTATTACATTCACATGGCAGCAATGCCTGTATTTATATAAGAAAAAGGGTTTATTCTGCCCTCCTAGCCTCATGATCGCCTCCAGAAGATTGTTCCATTATAATATGTGGGCATAGCAAGTTAAATCAAAGTGTTCCTCTTGATTCTTCTATATCTTTAATATATATATATCCCAAACCCTGGGTGCTTACATTTTACATTTCTGGCTATAGAAGTCTTCAACCAAATCAAACTATTGCCAGGAAGTTAAATGAACAAAATTGCAGTCCTAAGAAATACTGGACTTTCTATTGCTGAGTAAAGTAAATATCCCCTTTTCTATTAAGCCAAGTGGTACTGGATAAAATTTTGCTTTTACATAATGAACTGTGTGGCCACTGTTGAGACTTGATAGGACATTTATAACCCAATGTATGCCTATCATTTCAGGTAAACAAACCTGCTTCTTTATCATCCTCTAGTGTTTTCTCAGCTACTTTTGAATTAAAGAGGGACAAGAGCAGATTGTGAGAATTCTAAATTACACAACAAGCCACACGTGAATCTTTAAACAAAGGCACAGACATTTTAAACATGAACATTCATTCAAGAACACATTCGGTGCCCAGAAAAAAATGATTACTCCACAGCTTCACGTTTATAATTGTTACTTGCATAAAATAGGATGCTAAAGAAGTAAACCCTGTCTAATGGGAAGAAAAATATATCCCATTCTAGTTCAGTACTGACCCGGAGTACCTTTTCAAGTCAGTTAATCTCTCCTTATTTTTGTTTTTCTCTTTGAGATATGTAGATGATTATATCCGTTCAACTTGCAAACTTCTCGTAAGAACATAGAATAAGTCTTACAACTAATAGACCAATGCAAACAAGCTGTGGGTTTAGAAAATCTGAAAAAAAATACATTCATGGTGCTGAAAGTTCTAAATTCCAGAAGTTGTTACTTTTAAAGCTTATTATATAAAAAGTGATATTGAAAATGTGCTGTAACAGTGAACTTTGAAAGTATGAATCAGCATGGTAATATAGAAAGTATTGCTAGAACATTCTACATTGCCATTATATTTCCCATCTTTAGTGTTATTTATTATGTACCAGTTTTTCAACTAGAAAAATTTGTTTTCAATGTCTATATTTAAAATATATATATATATATATATATATATATATATATATACACTTTATTTACTTTTTAAATTTAATTCTAAGTAGAATGTTGAACCTCTATTTTAATAATTATGATAAATCATATTTTAACCTTAAAATAGTTTTACATTTTAAAAGGGTCCTTGGAGGTTTATATTGGCAAAATAATAGCATAAAATAAAATTTTGGTATCATTCTAATATTTCTCTAGATATTACCACAGAAATATTTACTCCCTAATGCATTTTTTGTTTAAATGTGTTTAATATTTACTGATATCATTTAAACCCTAAAACATTTTACTTACCTTTGTTGTCATATTGAGGCAATGCTCAAGGTTGAAATAGTCACTATACCCTAAATGAACCAAGCCACTACCTACTGAAAGAAAAAGCTACAAAACGGCAAAAACAATGAATCTCACATATGGTCACTCATTATTAATATGTCTTAATAACCTAACAGATTCTGCATAATTTACATGTAATTGCTGAGCATAGAATTCCTTATTCCTCATTCCCATTAGTATAATTCAGATCCTGTACACCTTGGAATTATGAGCATAAGAGATTAAACAGGGGTGCATGAACTTCTGTGGGAAAGTCCAAAATTTTTGGTTTCTAGCCATCTGTCAAAATACTGACAGAAGACTTAAAATAAAAATATCAAGCTGTTTTCCTCTCAACTATTTAATTTCTTGAAAAATAAATATTTTCTGCCAGCTAAAAATGGCAGCTTAAAAGTGACTAATTTCTGAACCCTTAAATTTAGAGACACCACTCAAAATATTATTGATGCCAAAAATGCCACTGTATGTCATTTAAATGCTATATTCACATGTTCTTATTCTTATTGAATACGCCTAATAGTTTGGCATGGAATTAAAAACTACTGAAATATATTCATATATTTAAATATACTGGGCTTAGACTTCACAACGGGGTTTATCAAAAGCCAGATTTGTATTATCATTCTCAAAGTTCTATTATTAGTGTTGAAAAATCTCTCCAGTGTCATTGAGGAGCCAGGCTCCAGGCCAAATCTTATGTATGATCTTTCAGGCCCTATCATAGGCAATCACAAAGGCTCCACCTGGCAAGCCACCCTGGAGAAAGGTGCCTCCCCGACACTGGAGTTAGTGCACAGTATGGAGAAGGAGGACTCCACCACCAGGCCGGCCATGTTTATTTGTTTTTGTTTGTTTGTTTTTGTTTGTTTGTTTTTGTTTTTTCTCAAGATTTTATTGGGGAATTGGGGAAGGGCAACAGCCAAGTTATTGTCCTTCAATCTTAGTTGTGGAGGGTGCAGAAAGCTCAGCTCCAAGTCCAGTTGCCATTTAGCCGCCCAGCGGCAGCTCGTCGCTGCTCAGTTCAAGGTGCTGTGTTCAATCTTAGTTGCGGGTGGGCGTAGCCCCCCATCCCATGCGGAAGTCGGACTGGAAACCTTGTTGTTAGGAGCACGTGCTCTCACCAGCTGAGCCGTCCTGCCACCTGTTGGCAGCTCAGAGGCAGCTCAGCTCGGGTGCAGCTCACTGGCCTATGTATGTGGTAATTGAACAAGCAACCCTGTTGTGCAGAGCTCGTGCTCTTAACTAACTGAGCCACTCGGCTGGCCTGTGGCCGGCATGTTTTTACCCATATCTACATTCCTAGCCCAGGCGCCTCCATTTGGAGGCCACCTCATTGGAGGCCCTAGCTAAGGCCTCTCTTGGGTGCATCTCCTTTATTTGGAGGTCTTGAAGACACCTTTCTCCTCTAAGGACTCGGTATTTAGTACTTTTCCTTCCCTGTCCTGCTGCCCCACCTCATCAGAAAAACCAGCAGAAATCTTTTGTTCAGGGCTTCCTCAGCAGAGACAATACCCTATTCTGCACTGATCATTCTGACTGTTGCCCAGTGCCATTCCCTGGGGAAAATGGGACACCATTGGAGCCATCACCTTCTGTCTGGGCTGTTTCTCATGTATCACAATAAATGAATAAAGACTGAATTACTACTTTTATTTTGGCTTGTTGTTTAACTTGATTGCTCTGACATCTGGCAGCTCAACTCTCCCCTGGCCTCAGCTCTTGACAATGGCTTTTCCATGCTGGAATGGAAATAGCTTTTTAAAAGTCATTCAAAGACTGATGTTCTGATCCAGTGTAGTTTTCTGCTTGCACACTGCCTTACTATTTATTATCTCTCTGATTTCTCTACATTCTTGACCGCTCCCTCTGCCCATCCCTGAAGCGTCTTACCATTTGGAACTCACTGCCTATAGAAAGGACATGATGATTGGCGTCAGTTTGTTTTGAAGTTTGGCTCTGCTTCTTACCTCATGTAGGAATAATTCACAGAATCTATGCGCCTTAATTCTCCTATCTTTGTTATAACAAGGGCATAGCATTGCTAGTACTAATACTTCAAAAGAATGTTTTGAGAATTAAATATAAAATGATGGTTGTCACCCATTTTGAAAATTCTACAAAGACATAACTTTGTACTAGACTTGACTCCTACTTCAATAACTTTTTTTTATTACTCTCCTTCCTTTTTTCCATCTCGTTTACACAGAGGCTTTCTCCAAAATACATCTTTAGGCTTTCCTCATTTTTCTCTCCATTGTTTTCTTCTTAAGTTCTAATGAATGCAATGTTTTATTTAAATATTTAAAAATGTAATATTTTAGTAAAAAAGTGGTCAAATTAAACAATCCAGAATCTAAGGACTGTCACAATAGGAAAATCTCTACTAAACTCTACTAAAACTACTTGTTCTAATTTTAGTAAAGTATTAATATTTTGAAATTATCCTTTTCATAAAATATCATTTTACAAACAAATTTTCATGTACCTTTTCTTTTCTCCTCTATGTTTTCTTTCTTCTCCTTAGTATATTTCTCTGTCCTTTCTTTACAGCTGCTGAACAAAATGTCTGATCATGAGCAACACGGGTTTCAGAGATGCTTATCCTCTTTCTGGCGTAGTAGTGATGATTCATCTCCCTGTCTAAATATTTCTTCCATTACTATCACTCCTGTCAACTCGACTGATTCCAGACTATCATTGGGACTGTTAATACCACCACCTCCTAAATGTGGCCTTCCCAAGCCAGTCAGTGAGAGCAGCATCCCAAGACCTCATGTAATTTGCTAAACAGAAAATTATTTTTATTATCCCACTTATTATTGTTTTTAATTCTGCCAAAATATATAATTTATAGTAATGAAAACAATCAGGTATTTCTTGAAAAATATGATATGATCTGGGGCCTTTGTGTGCCATTGTTTCTTGCTTTGATTACCCAGTATCAGACCTTACAAGTAGAATGTTGATGGTATACAAACCCACAGAAAGATGATAGAACAGGTACTTCAGAAGACCCTTAGATATGGCTGTTGGGAAATTAGGTCATTGGTGATATTGATAAAAGCAGTTTCAGTAGACTTTAGTTCATAAAGAGCAAAGTCTTCATTGATTTTAGTTGAGGATTGAATGAAGACATTTTTGGTTGGTTTGTTTTGTTTTTAACTACAGTAGAGATTTGAGTATCTTTATATCCTGAATAGGAGGAGAAAGATGGAACCAGGGGAGATAGAGGGACAGGGCGATTAGGAGAACAGTATTCCTGAGCAGGAGGAAAGTGCTGAGGGACAAAGTTGCCTGGAAGTATTTGGATAGTATTTATGATCAATAAGGTAAACAGATAGGTAAAAATAGAGAGATCACAGCAATTTTCCTGCATGCAAAATTGTAGTAAGAATTATGTTAATATCAAAACCATCACTCTTTACACACAAGCAGCCTTATTTTTCTTCACTATCTTAGTCATCTGTAAATCAGAAAAATAAATGTATTCTGAGAACTCTAATTGTAATGTGAACCACTCTAAGCAATCTCTGTTCATGTTCTTATAGGAAAAGCAATTTTTTTCTCACTATCACTCTCCAAAATGTGAATTCTTTTTTTTTAATATATTGTGTGTTTGTGTTTGTGTGTGTGTGTGTGTGTGTGTGTGTGTGTGTGNTGTGTGTGTGTGTGTGTGTGTGTGTGTGTGTGTGTGTGTGAGAGAGAGAGAGAGAGAGAGAGAGAGAGAGAGTGAGAGAGAGTAAGTGTGTGTCTTTTTCACCCCTGAATGACAAAGTAATGCTTGTTTCATTCTTACATAACATCCTGGCCCAGACAACTTAATGATTTTCATGGTATATTTAGTGATTATTTATTTCTTTCACAAGGTAGCTATTGTAGAAATTTAATGAAATCTTATCCAGGACTAAAAGGCACTGCAATGAATCTAATACTTGGCTGTCACTGTAGTTATAAATACAAATTAAAATGTACTGTACTCTAAAATTTTAAGAAATTGTTGTCAATTGCATTTGAATAGTTACATTTAAAAAGATACATCACTTATGTTCAATTATTTCTGTTTAAAACTTACACAAATATAGCACTGAAATCATATTTTATGTAGTCTCTAACATTTTCAATTGTCTGGTACAAATGGCAATTTCTACATATACAAAAAATCCAATATATCTTATATATCTATCTAGAATAGTGTCATCACGATGTTTGCCATCATCTTCGAAAACATGTTTGCTGACATTTTCTATTGCTTTCTTACCAATGAGCATTAAGCATAATTGGTTGAACCATAATATACTGACAAATTCAACTATTTTTTATTCAACTGACTTTGTTGTTTATATATGTTTTATATGTATTGATATATGAAATATTTAGCATTATAATGTGTCTACATGAAATACTACCCTAATTCATATTATCTTCATTGCAGGCAGGCAGTGTGACACCTAAGTCACCCTCCACTGACATCTTTGATATGATTCCATTTTCTCCAATATCACACCAGTCTTCAATACCTACTCGCAACGGCACACAACCACCTCCAGTACCTACTAGATCTACCGAGATTAGTAAGCTTTCTAAACAAATCAATATTCTCTACTGCATTTGTGTACCTTTTAAATGTTTAATTAATGCTTTATGTGAAATTATGTGTCTTAACAAGCTCAGTAAAATGTTTAATTACTAAAGTATTATGTTTGTATATATAGCAAATCAGTTAATTATATTTTACTTCATAATTCAGAGTATACTACAAAAGACATCACTATTTGCATTTGAAACTCTTATGAAAAACAGTTTGGTATAGAATTATTTACATTTTAATACAAATCACTTCATTATATTTTTATTGTGTTTGGGGTTGTATTTTTTTTTTTTTTTTGGTAGAGGGCAGTTTCACTGGCCCTCATATGTGGGATCCGAACCAGGGCCCTCTGGTGTCCCAAGCCAGCTCTTAACCAACGCGCCACTCGGCCGGCCCTGGGGTTGTATTTTTAATGTTTTAATTTAATGATTAAAAGCAATTCTAATGGTAATTCTTTAATGATTTTTGACATGTTTGATAGAGCTCGGTTTAAACTTTTGGTTATGAAGTGTCTGGATAATCTTAGTTGAAGAAATATGTAAATCTATTCATTCCATGATTTATTTGTTAATCCTTTATAAGTGTTCTTTCTTTGATATCTAAAATGTTACAAATGCGTTGATTTTCTGATTTACCTTCTGTATATCTAGAAGAAACATAGAAGTCTCTTTGTGATGAATTAGAAAACATCTAACAGATTGCTCATTTTCAATATCTTGACTGTATTTTGATCTGTGTCCTATCACAGAAACTGAAAGAATGGTTTGCAATGCCATGATCAGTCATGATATCCAAGTGGAAACTGAAGAAAAGGGAGTTTTACATATTATGCTTTATTGCATTGTCTCTGGTTCACATTAAGACACTTTGAATATAACTCTGAAGTTCTAGCTTAAGGCTTTAAAACATGTCAGGGCCTTATAGTTGATTCATTTCCCCTTGTGGAACTTAACAGAGTATATTGCACATGTTAAGTATTCATTTAAAGTTTAGAGAGCTAATTTGTAGATACAAAATAATAACATTAGTAACTTTATAAATCAGCTTACAAAAATATCCATCGCTGCATAATTTGAAATTTATATTTAAATCCCTCTGAATATATTTTGTGTCAGTGCTAAATTAAGGAAATGATCTATGATAAACACATCATAGTGTGTTTTTAGAAAATAGTTGCCAATATCCTGATAGCCTAATGGGGTATTTTATGTCTTTATAAGTGTCTCATCTCTCTTTGTTTATTGCTGTTTTTTACTTTCTTGGACTTCATCATTAATTTATTCACTCATTTATTTAATTCAGTGGGCATTTGTTTAGCATATGCACTAGATTTATGTTGCATGGTAGAATATGAAATATAACTTAGCAATATATCCACAATAGAGGATTTTAATTCAAGTTGAAATATAAATTGAGAAGAATGAATAGATTTTCAGATATTTAGAAGAAATAATCTATTAGGATGATGACTGAGAGTTCAAAATAAATATGATTCAGGGTTTTAGACCAAATGTTATTAATGGGGAAACTAGGGACAGAGAAGGGAGAAGTACAGTATTTTGCTGTGTGTAATGCATACTTTTTTTGCCCAAATTTGTGAGGGAAAAAATAAGGATGTGCATTATACATAGGCAGTGCTAATTCCATATTTATATAAATGTTTTTAATTCTTTTATTTATACTTATGAGTTAAAAGTGTAACTCTAGAAATCAATAACGATATCCATATGCAAAATAATACCCTGGAATATGATAATTGGTTTTGTTGAACATATAATGAACTTGCAACAATGAAGACTTCTTGGCCTTCTATGATGCGTAAATATCATAAATTTGTTACCAGTACATAAAATATCTTGTACTTTGTATCTGTTCTTATTTTGTAATTATTTGTTACATAAAATTTCTTGTACCATAATATGTTAAAGAATAAATGCTAAAATTCCTTTATAATCCAAAAGACAAGTACCTAAATGTAAACAAATACAAATTTGAATTAAAAATTTAAAAGGAAAGGTTTTTTTCCCCCGACAGTTTGGGCCAAAAACGAGGGTGCACGTTATACATGGGAGCACATTATACACAGTAAAATATGGTAATGAGTTCTGTTTTAGACATCACTGAGTTTGAAATGCCTTTGGAGATGATCAAATGGTTTTATGGAATTTATTAATGAGAAACTGAAATAATATCTTGCTACATTTTTTAATGTTTACCTATCTTGAGTACCAAAGTTTAGGAAATGCAGCAATATATAAATAGGTAGATAGATAGACAGATAAATAAATAGATTGATAGATATGGAGTCCTGGTTACCACTATACTATCTATAATATATCTATACTAGTAAATTAAGGACAAATTGTCCAACTCAGTTTTAATTGTAAAATAGTCTTAAACTCCAATGCAGTGGGTTTTAGTAATAGAGCTTTTTATTTAAATGGAATCTTAAATTTATTCTCTTCATTTATTCTTCATTTACTAAATCACTTTTTTTCCATTTAGAACGGGACCTGTTTGGAGCAGAACCTTTTGACCCATTTAACTGTGGAGCAGGGGAATTTCCTCCAGATATTCAATCAAAATTAGATGAAATGCAGGTGAATATCAGATTGGTCCATAAATGGTTTTTCGTTTTAATACAGGATGTTATACCCAAACTACCCTTTCCTTGAGTTATTCTCGCTATTAAAACTTACTTAAAATAATTTCTTTAAAATAATAATATACACTTAGTACTAAAAATACTCATACATATGTTAAGGATAAGGTTTTGTTTAGTTCTTGATACAATTTACAATGGCAATAAGGTGGTTCATTTTCTTTTATATGAAATTGCATGGATTCTAATGGTTCATTATTTTGAAATCCAAGAATTTAAAGGTCATTACACTAGGCTTATAAGATTTGATCTGAATCTTAACAATTATGAACTTCAAAATAGTGAATGGGTAGATGAAGGAAAATCTTTGTAAGACTCAAATCAGTCGCTCTTAAAAGAAGCATTGTAGCTCCAGTTCATAACTTTGGGGCGCTTATTGAAACAGCAGATACCCATGACAAGTTATTTAGGAATTTGGTTCAGTTGGAGTTTCACTTCTTTCTCTCCCTTTTAGTTTTCAATTCTGAATTGTTTTGGAAGTTTGAAGATACTGGTTTTAAGAGCTATTTAGAATGAGCAATTAATAAGTAGTCTTAGAAACTCTAGAATAAAGTCTTTTGTTTATATTTTCCCTTTACATTTTGGTGAAGTTCTTATAGCCTAGTTTCTATCAATGACTATATGTAGTAGAATGCAAGCAGAGTCAATTTATCTGAAGCTGATTGAAATGAGGTGGAAAGAGGAGTCATTTCTATTTATTAGACCTGGGTTAATACTCTCTATGCTTCATTTACCAGAAAAATAATAATGGTTGTATTCTGACCTTCTAACAACTAGTAAAGCACTCCTTCCTAGAAAGATCATATCAATAGCCCTCTGCTCACTTTGGACTACAGCTCTAAAGTAGTCTTATTTTCTAGGTACAATGTGATTTTCCTTATTGTTCTAGATATAATAAAGCCTGTACTTTAAAAGTTGGATTATTTAACATATGCCTTGAAGTTTTCAAAGAATATGTTAAAATAATTTTTTTCCAGTTTGGGTGATTCACATGAAAAATTATTTTAAATCCTCAATATTAATCTAAATTGTTATAACACTTCTTAAATATGTACAGCAAATTATAAACAACTTATCCTTGAAGCTCTTATACAAGTATTTCAAAAAATAACAAATTAAATAAAAGCAAAATTATAACACCTAATAAAATTAAAATTCAGAATTTTAATATAACAGGAGGGATGTGTTATATGACTGAGACTAAATCACCAATATCAAAGTTCTGTTGATTTCAGCATGTATTCTGCTTCATAACGTAGTTACTCCATCTCTTTGCTATATTTCAAATACTATGAAACTTGCCCTCAAACTATGCATGAATATTTAGGAGGAAAGTTTTATTTCTTGCATATGAAATCAATTGCATTCCTTTTTTATTAGTTTTACCCATTAGGCTTATACTACTTGGGTTTAATGCTTTTGTAAGGACAAATACAAATACGGCCACTGATGTGGTAGTATTTGTTTTCAAATGTTATACAAATCATAAAGAGTACTTTACTATTAATGTATTTTAGATTTTCACAAAATTGTACATTTTCTTATGAATTTTTAATGATAAGCCTACATCTTTATATTTTTGCGGGTACCCACTTTGAGAAATACTGTATTGGAATGATTTAATGATACGTTTGTCAAATAATGTTCAGCTGAGTTATTTTTGCTTTTATTTTAGTTTTTGGCATTTCTAATATTTTCTTAATATCTTTTTTATTCTTTTCTGCTTTCATGGTGGGTAGCGCCAGAGATGGTTGGTATATTATTTTCATAATAATTTTAAACAACTTATATCTTTTTAAAGCTAAAACCTTAAAAGTTGCATGCTTTAATAAATATCCAAACAGAAATTTCATATGGATTTGTCTATGAATTATTAGTTGAGTTGAAAGATTTTATAACCCATATTTTAAAGTTATTTTTCAATGACAGTCACTGTTGCATTGTCTACTTCATTACTTGTTTATTTCTTTGAGTCCAGGATTTACTTGAAAGCTCACTTTAACTAAAGTAAAATAATATGTTCACCTAAATTTTATGATGACTTTTGTTATTAAACTTGTTAGCCTAGTTAACCTAAAGCACACAACTATTTTTAATGTCGCATACAATGTAAAAAACTCTATACAATATAATGGGTTATATAAACCTCATATATTGAGTTAATAAGCCTAGTGAGATATTTGGCTTTCCTTTTTCATTTACAGAGGAAATCACACAAATATCTCTGGAATATACAATTTAAGTAGAAATGCTAAGCTGTATTTCATTATAAATGATTATAGAATTCGATATTTATTTGAAATCAATAATTTAGTTTTTTTCATTTGACATAATTTAAACTTATGGGTACATGTCACAGGCAGACAAATCAGTGTAATATTATTGATAGCCCAGAAGTATATCTTATAAGTTATAATAATTTAATACATTAAAAAAGAAGCATGGTAAGTCATGAATGGTGAAAGAATTATGCATTAAGTGGTGTTAAGTCAACTGGTTAATAATTTTGGAGAAGATAAATGCACAGCTGAAACTTACAGCAAATATTCACATACATTTAAGAAATATTAAGTAGCTTAAAATATTTGAAATTAAAGTGAATATCATCAGACTTTTAACTTGGAGAGAAAATTTTATAAGGGCATATTTATATGGATATACATAGTCTTTATAGAAGAACTTCTATAGTTCTTTTTAACTTTGTCTTTAAATATATATATATATATATATATATATATATATATATATATATATATAAAGTTAAAGTCAGTAGAAAAATGATTAGGAAACAGCAATCAACTGACAAATTAAAAAAATAGTTCACAAAAGAAGACCACAAGTAGTTAATGTACATGTAGACATGTTCAGTCTAATCAGAGAAAACATACTAATTAAGTAAAGAACTATAAATGCTTTTTGACCTAGCAAAGTACAAATATTTTCTTACTAATAATCAGTACTAATGCAAGTGTGGCAAGTACTCTAAATTATTGCTGGGCCAGGGTCAGTTCATAACATTCCTTTGGAGTGTAATTTGTTATTAATACTTGTATTTCTATTTTTCATCAAAAATGAATACAATCTGTGCTGAAGGAAAAATAATTATAAATGTGAAAACTCTATTAAAAAATCCAGCCAACCTTATTAAGTAATTGTAAAATACTGGAAACAAATCATATTAAAAATTAGTAGAATATTATATAGTCTTTAAATTAGTTTTATGGGGACTCAAAATAATATAGAAAGTTTGTTCTGCTATGATTAAAAATAGAAAATATATATAAGTAGGGTTATATATATTATTATCAAACTGTTTTAAGAATGTATAAATAGAAAAAAAGAAGACTCAAACTACCTAAGTCAACATGTTCACAATTTTTACATATGAATGATTTTTCTTTTTTTGATATGCTTTTCTCGCTATTTCAAAATAATAAAATGTAATTGGGCAAAATATTTCATACAAAAAAACATTAATAATATATTAATAATAAAATCATTTTTGTGTGATTTTAGTTTATGATAGAGTCCATCACTACATAAATTAAATAAATGCTCATTTTTATTCAGAAGTTTAAAATTCTAGATGATATGGAAATCTTAGATGGATTCAGAGTCCATTAAATCACGATTTATAAAATGAGACCTAGGAGGGAAGATCAGAAAAGTATATGGAAAACTTTATCTTAGGAGAAAAAAACCAAGGAGTCATAAACAATGTATCTGTTCATTGGGATGATTAAATTAATCTAGGGGGACTCTGAAAGGATCCTTATAAAGTCACCATGGAGATAATCTTGTAAGATACAAGCTTTTTTTTTAATTGAAATAGTGATTGAGTGCTATATTATTTTGATTGCTATTCAGCCTTTTAAATACTGGTAATACACTGATAAATAGCGTTTTTAGGGTCATTTAAGTTATACTTGTTTAAGTTCAAATGAACTGGCAAAAAGTGAATTATGTATGGCAAAATGTATGGTATCAAACCTTTACAAAGGTAGTACATATCCTATCTATTACATTTGCCTGCCTATCTATCATCTATCTATGTATCTATCATCTCATAACACTAGATGACATAATAAAAAGATCCTCATATAACCAAATAAAATATTTAAAGAACAGTTTATTTACAATATTTTCAACTTTAATTATAGACTTTTCTAAGTATTTGGCAGCTGTTTTAAAAATAAGCATAAATATAGCAAAAAATATTCTTATGATAAGAAGTCTTTTAAAAAATAATGGTAAGTACTCAGACTTTTACTTAGCTAAATGTAATTTGTATTCCAAGTACTGGGAAGAAATTTTGAAAAATCTTTACAGTAAAGGCATTGCTATGTAGTCTCTTTGCTGTAGACAAAATGAAGAGCAGTCTCTGAACATTACTAGACAATAAGATGTGGCTTGCAGTTTTATGACAACCTTCTTCCTCTACACAATGTTTACATTGGATTTATAATAACATAAGTACATTTAGATACCTGTTCTAAATGAAAGTGATTTTGGGAAATGCAAAATGATACACAGTTGGCTAACACACAAATAGTCTCATTAAATAAAACACACAAAACAGACAGGGGACAGAAGCCTTATTTTTGAGAGACATTTTTGTTTCCTTGGGAATAGACTGCTGTCCACATTGCATTTGCCAAAAATGTGTCACATGGCCACCCCTAACTACAAATTATTCCGTAAACAAAATCTCAGTTCCGTTATAAAGAAACAGTGAGATAGGTAGAGATAGATAGATAAATGTTAGATAGATAGATGATAGATTATATCTATAGATGTATATCTCTATGGAGAGAGAGAGAAAGAGAGAGAGAGAGAGAGACAGAGAGACAGAGAGAGACTGAAAGAGACTGCCACACTGCTTCTACAAGGAAACCTAAAATGTGGCCTCCAATTCAATTCCATTGATCAGTGTGAACCTTTGCTTTTCATCTCTTCTTTGTATGCCAATGTGCAAAGATTTACAGGCAAATGTGGGGATGGAGGGAGATGGTCAGACTGGAGATAGCCCATAGTTCAAGTATGTATCTCTTATGCAAAAAAAAGAAGAGAGCTTGGAGTAGAGAAAGGCAAACTTTTTATTTGCCACTAACTTTTAACTCAAAATTTTAAGGGTAAAAAAACCCAAAAACAACAACCACCTTTCACAGCATTTGTGTATTTGTTCTCAATAAATCGAAGGCAACTTAATTTCCAAAAACATCTAAAATATACTAGTTGGAGTGGGATTCAAAGCAACAACTTGCAGCTACACACAACTGCAGGACTAATAAAGGAAGCTTTCTCCATAGCAAAGGGACCTGCAGTCTGTGTTCCACGTGGGATATAATTTTGCATTTACCCAATGTATTTTACCAGGCTCTGGACAGTGGTAACCAGGAAGAAAAGGTGAAAACTAGCAGTCTATCTTCAACCATTCATCAATTTGAAGTACCTCAGTTGTATTTAAATATTACTTAAATTTAAATGGATATCGATCTTTAAAGCCAACAGAGGGATTTAAGAACGACATCTAGACTTTACTTAAAAAGAAACGTTTAAATCTTGAAACTACTTATTAATACTTCCATATATTTCTGTTTTATTTTGTCTCTCACGCATGCTCACCTCACATACATTTAAAACATTTAAAATGCTAATGGGTATAAAGATCCACCTGGGATGCACACCTATATTTGACAAGCCAACATTTGATATTTGATTATTTTTTAGTTGATCAAAACATGAAGATTTCAACCTCTGTTTATAGTCTCTTCAATTTACTGTTGTTTTTTGTTTTTGTTTTTGTTTCCTTTTTTGGTCATGAGCATTTCCTGTTTTAATGATTTTACTCTGTTTTACAGGAGGGGTTCAAAATGGGACTAACTCTTGAAGGCACAGTATTTTGTCTCGACCCATTAGACAGCAGGTGCTGATGTCAAGAACAAGAGGTCCTTATTCATGTTAAATTTATTTTGTCTACATATAGCATTCATTATTACTTTATGACAGGTATTATACATGTGCCAATATATGTATATTTTTAATATCTTCAGTTTCTGTAAATTCTTTTAGTACCACTCAGTGTACTGTAAAGCATACTTTTATGTTCCTTTCTCGTTCTGTTGTAGAAGAATTTGTAATAGAAAGACAAATTATCCAAATATCTACCTTGTGTCTGAGTTCTAAATAGTTAGCTTCTTGAAATTTGTGTTCATACTCCAGGCTGCTAGTTTAGTTTTGATTTTCCAAAAGCCATACCTTAATGATACCTTTCAAAGTCCTAAAGAGATATACCAATGGCAAACTAAATACTATATTCAAACTAATAAACATGTTACCATTCATTGGACAGATGTCATTTTATGTATGAAATCTCGTTCATATCATTAGGAAAATGTAAACTTTGACTATAGTGCCACCAGTTTATTTTTAGCAGGTGAAATGACAAAAACATAAATTTTAATAATAATTAAACCAAATGTATTTAGAGTATTAGTAAATGCACAGTAATAATGTTAGTTATTATCAGTTATACTCTAAATATTTTATTTATTTCATAAGTAAATATGGTGGGGGCAAAACTGAAAATTTGCTATTTACAAAACACAAAATTTAATTTCTAATAAGTTACATTACTAAACATATAACATTTAATCTGATGTTTCCTAAAAAAAGAAAAATTTGGAATATATACTGTCTATAACTGCAGTGTCTGTTAACCATATTTACTTTACAAAATATATTTTTTTCTCAAAATATTGTGATGCCCCATTAGTTTTGATACTTTAAAATCTATGGATACTATTCTTTATGAATCATCACTATTATTGAACAAATTTAATTTTTTATTGTTGTTGAAGTTAGAATCTCATTTTTCACAAAAATCAAGTTGTTGCTCTCTTTAGCCTTTAACATGAACAATAATTTTTACTGAATGCAACAAAAATTTATAGTCAAAATTTATAATTTGGTTCATCACATTTTAAAAAGTAAATTAATAAATGTCAACTTAGATTGGGGGGAAGTCTCAAAACCAGATTTTTAAAAAAATTTTAGTCATGGGAATTTTCTTCAAGTGCTAAAGGTACATTTTCACTAAGAGAAGAAATGAAATAGCTTATGCAATATTATATTTGTATGTATCTCCATAATGTTCTATGGTATATATAAGCCTTCTTGTTTGTTTTCTGTTATCTGCTAAGTTGTACCTTAATTAGATGGTAGTATATGTTTCAAAAAGAAGAGTCTTTATAATTCTGTTTGTCATATAGTATTTTGGAATTTGTATAATGAGGATGTTTAGAAGCCATATCAATGGCTTTTTTTTAACAGATAGAATTTGTATTTTTATTGTACTTTAAAAAGCTTTATGTAATAGGCATATACTTAGTCACCATTTATTATCAATGGTAACACAAATAGAGTACTAAGATGGTATTTGCACATGTTACTTTACCAGTTTTTAATGGTAATAAATTCTGCTACTGGCATGATTAAATAGTACATAATTATGAACATTTATTTCACCAGTGCATTTTTATGAAGATCCAGTTGAAAATTGTATTTCTATGTAAACTCAATAATATGTTTGATTTTGCTGAGAATAAATGATTTTAAATAAATTGCATAATTTACTCATTAAATAATCTTTAATTAATTTAGACACATTCTGAAGCTAATTACATGCCAGACTTTTCTGGTCATAAATTGGAGCCAAAAGGGCCGGCCGAGTGGCTCAGTTGGTTAAGAGCTCGCTCAAGAGTTTGAGCTCTGAGCAACAGCGGTTCGAGTCCAGCCCGAGCTGAGCAGCCGCTGAGCTGCCAACAGGTAGCAGGATGGCTCAGCTAAAAAAAAAAAAAAAAAAAAAAAAAAAAAAAAAAAAAAATAATAAATTGGAGCCAAAAGAAAGACAGAGAGAGAGAGAGAGAAAGAAAGAAAGAAAGGGCTTTAACTTGATTTCTTACAGCCCACACACATTTTAGTCTTATGAGCAACTACCATTCAGTTGTGAAAACAATGGACTTGATCCTGCAATGAGAGAAATCATAGTTTGGTTCTTTTCACCAGAAGCATCTGGTGCAATAAGTGAATTATGTAAATACGTCTTTTCTAAATTGAGAGCTTTTTTAGCCTAAAATAATACAAAGTGTGTCTTGGCTGATAGTCTTTAAAAGGTAGACTCGATAACAGGATTTGAGTTGTGGCTAATTCGAATGTCATGAAGTTTTGAACCTATCCAAAACACAATGTTAACTATTTTTAAAAACACACAGGACTCACACTCACTGTCTTTGCAAACCAATGAATAATTCATCCCTCTATTCAATAAAATTTATTTATTACTCTGTGTGAATAACATGTATTATGTGGGTAAAAAAACGTCTAGTAAGTTTGCTAACAGACATTGTTAAATTGAAGTTGACAGGATTCCTGTCTTCAGTTAGTTTATCGGAAAGGAAAAGTAAGGCAAATATATGAATTAGTAAATGAAAACCAATGTGTATTAAAGTACTCTGTGAGCCAAAAACTTCCTCAAGAACATTTATAGTTAACAATTTTAAATGTGGGTACCTAGCACTGGCTAGCATCTACAATGTTACTTATCCAGTGTGAAGCTTATCAGAACAAGCCAATGACAATAATTTTCATCTCTTCTTGTTTCTTCCGTTTTGGATTTGAATTTTTTTTCAAAAACTTGTAGTCACATTATGGTAACACATTTTCAGATAGAATTTCTGATGAAGTTCACGCTGTTGCATTTCTAAATACTGACTTTTGTTTCTCTTTTAGATGTTACTTAACATAACCATGAAAAAAACCCGGCTGTTAATATTTTTCTGTTCCAGTGTTTCCATATGTACTTCCAAATTCAATATTTATTCATGATTTTGGGTTTCAACCTCTGTTAAATTACTTGAGGAATCTTGGACTCAGTTTTGACAACCAAATCTCAGACTCCACCTAAACTACAGCCTTTATAGGCCACTAACACGCTGTTGAGCTGTGCATGGCGGTTATTATCCTCAGATACCTGAGTCTCATGCATGAAGCACCTTACTTAAGTTCCTCTCCTTCCTAGATAACCTCAGACAAATTCCTTGAGAACTTCCTCCTCCAACATGCATCTTAAATTTGACACAAACCTTAATTCTTATACACTTGTTCTATGTCTTCATCTCGTTGTTAAGGTCCAAATGTAACCCACTTCTGGAAATCTCTCCCATAAAACATACTTTCTCTAGAATTCATCCAAAGTAGGATTCCCTTAGTCTATTGAAGATACGATCTAAAATAATTTATGGTTTTCTATTTTCTTGCTTTCAAGTGAATTCTTATGAAATATGGCTGTTATTTAAATACCAAAACACTTCTCCTTTCTCTGAATTTGTTTTCATTCTAGTTCATGGATTCTATGGCCCACTACTTCAAAATCATAGTTAAATAATATACAAAAGATGGCATACTTAAGAAGGGGTTGAGGTTAAAGTCTCATTTCAAATTTTTCTCACATGATAAACTAAAATAACAATTTATTTCTGTATCACTAACACTGGATTTTTTTTGTGTCTGTTACTACCATAACTGTATAACTAAAATTTTTAAAAAACTTACCTTATTTACCTTAGCCACATTTTTGGCATTCGTTCAATGCACACTCAAAATTAATTGAGCCAAGCTTTTCCAGTTTGTAAGCAACTCTATCTATAGGCACTTTGGAACGTGCATTAAGGCTTTTATTTTTTTCTATTTTTAAACATTATTTATTGATATACCACCATAAAACATGATGATGTTGCATTTTTTTTACATTCAATATTATTTTATATAAATTTCAGGCATACAGCATAGTGGTTAGACATTTATATAATTTAAGAAGTGATCTCCTGACTAGTCTAGTACCTACCAGTCACTATACATAGTTATTACCATATCATTGACTATATTACCTATGCTGTATTTCGCATACCCATGACTATTTTGCCGCTATCAATTTGTACTTCACCTTTTTCACCATGCCACCCAGCCCCCCTCAAATCTATCAGCCCGCTAGATCTGGGACCCTTCTGACACCATAGGTAGTTATTACATTATTACTGACTATATTCCTTATGCTATACCCTACATCCCCATGACTAGTGTGTAACAACCAATTTGTACCTCTTAATCCCTTCCCCTTTTTTCACCCATACCACAATCCCCCTTCCATCTGGTAACCATAGAAATACTTTTTATACCTTTAAGTTTGCTTCTGTTTTGTTTATTTTGTTCTTTAGATTCCACATGTAAGTGAAATCATATTGCATCTGTCTGACATAGTTCACTCAGCACAGTACCCTCGAGATCATTCATGCCACCACAGATGGCAAAAACCCATTTCCTTCTGTGGCCAAGCAATATTCCTCTGTACATATGTGCCACCTCCTCTTTATCCATTCTTCCATCAACAGACACTCAGGTCACCTCCACATCTTGGCCATTGTAATCAATGCTGCCATGAACACATGGATGCACATGTCCCTTCAAAGTAGCGTTTTTGGGTTTCTTTAAATAGAAGTGGGATTATGGGGTCCTCCTTTGTCTTGTTATAGTTTTTGCTTAAAGTCTGTTTTGTCCAGTGTAAATATTGATATACCAGCTTTTTTTGTTTTTCTCATTTACATTTTTATGAAATACCTTTTTTCATCCCTTTACTTCCTATCCCTGTGTGTCTTTCAATCTGAAGTGAGTGTCTTGTATGCAGTATATGTTAGGGTCTTTTTTTCTTATCCAATCAGTCACCCTATGTCCTTTGATTGGAGCAGTTAGTCCATTTACATCGAAATAAATTGTTGATAGATATGTAGCTATTGCCATTTTATTATTCATAATTTTGATTTCCCCCCCCCCTTAAAAAGTGCCTCCAACATTCCTTGTAAATCTGGTTTGGTGATGATGAAGTTCTTTAGCTCTTTCTTTTCTGGGAAGCTCTCCATCTGTCCTTTGATTTTAAATGATAGCTTTGCTGGACAGAGTAATCTTGGTTGTAGGTCCTTGCTTTTCGTCACGTTGAATATTTTGTGCCAACCCTTCTGGCCTTCAAAGTTTCTGTTGAAAAATCAGCTGACAACCTATGAGAGCTCCTTTATAAGTTACTAGTTGCCTTTCTCTTGATGCTTGTAGGATTCTCTCTTTGTCATTAACAATTGCCTTTTTAATTATAATGTGTCTTGGTGTAGGCCTGTTTGGGTTCATCTTGTTTGGGACTCTGCACTTCCTGGACTTGTATATTTTCTTTGCTAGGTTAGGAAACTTTTCAGTCTTATTTCTTCAAATAAGTTACCATTCCCTTGCTTTCTCTCTTCTCCTTTTGGTCCTCCTATGATGCGAATGTTATTATACCTGAAGTTCCAGAGGTCTCTTAAACTATCCTCATATTTTTGGATTCTTTTTTCTTTTTGCTGTTCTGATTGGTTTTATTCTGCCACCTTGTCTTCCAAATTGCTGATTCAATTCTCCTTTTCATCTAGTCTGCTGGTGATTACTTGTAGTGCATTCTTCATTTCAGTTATTGTATTCTTCATTTCTGACTGGTTTTGTTTCATGGTGTCTATGTTCTTTTTCATGCTTGCTATCTTTTTTGTTTAAAGTCCTCACTAAGTTCTTTGAGCATCCTTATAATTGTTGTTTTGAACTCTGTATCTGGTAGGGTGCTTGCCTCCATTTTGTTTAGTTATTTTTCTGGAGTTTTTTCCTGTTTTCTTTTCATTTGGGACATATTTCTTTGTTTCCTCATTTTGGCTACCTCCCTGTGTTTGTTTCTATGTATTGGGTAGATGTGCTGTGTTTCCCACTTTTGGCTAGGTGGCCTTATGTGATAGGTGCCCTGTGGGGCCCTGATGACCTGTTCCAAGTGCTCCAGGAATGTCCCTTGTGTGGGTTGTATGTGCCCTCCTGTTATAGTTGAGCCTTGATTACTACTGGCACATCAGTGGGTGGGATTGCCTCTCTGGCTGATAGGCTCTGGGGTTTGGCCGCATCCACAGCTTACGGGACTGCTGTTCTGGTGGCTTACCCCACTGAGGGGATTCACCCCAGCAGGCCCTGGTGCCTGTTAAGACTGTCCTTTGTGTATGCCACTTGTGGGGCTAACTAGATGGTGCTCTGCTGTGGTCTGAAGCCAACCTTCTGGGGCTTCTTGGGAGGGGCTCCACTATAGTGCCATGTCGTCTACTACCCGTAACTAACTGGCCAGGGACTACCAGGTAGGAGCTACAAAGCAACCTGTGGTTGTTTGCTGCCTGTGCTAATGTTGGAGACATGTGGGAGAGGCCACACTGTGAACAAAGGATGGCTACCACCAGTACTGGGCCTACGGAAGCTCCACAAAAAGCCAGGACACTGAGGCCTGCTGCCACTTGCTGGCCCCCCGAAGATTCAGCCACTGATAAAGCCTTGTGTGATATGCTAGTGGATGAGGCAGGCTCTCAGGGAGTCATTGGAGTGGAAAGTGTTGTGGTCATCAGGTTAATATATATTCTGGTTTGGTGCCAGAGCTGATCCTGGAACTACTCAGCATTGAGTTCTGATAATTAAATTTGCGAACTTGTTGCAATGATGTTGCTAACCTTTTTTGCTAAAAAGGCTGTGTGAAATAAATGACCTGAATTTTTTACCAACGATTCATGGCTCTTGCATCATGACAATGCACCAGCTTACATGGCACTGTCTGTGAGGGAGTTTTTAGCCAGTAAACAAATAACCATATTGGAACATCCTCCCTACTCAACTGATT